CAAAAAGCCGGTCTGCTACAAGCTCGTCAGCCGGGAGGTTCCCTCCCTGCTTCCCAAGGAGGGCGGGTTGGTTTGGAAGCGCGCCGGCTTTGCCAGACATGCTGTGCACGTCACCAAATGTAAGTATCCCTTGCGTCTTCGTGCGATCAGCCAAACTGATAGTCTACGCCAGACTCCGATGATCAGGTCCACCCCGCAGGACGCCACGTCCCGCAGACTTCCGGTGAGCCCTCGGAAGGCCTGCCAGCGTGGATTGAATCAGCCGGCCCCAACTGCTCAATTGACAACACGGATATTGTCCTCTGGCACACGTTTGGCCTCACTCACTTTCCGTCTCCGGAAGACTACCCCATCATGCCTGCGGAGCCAATGACGGTGCTCCTCCGCCCTCGAAACTTCTTCGCTCGCAATCCGGCATTGGATGTCCCTCCTAGCTACGCGAGAACTCCTTCGCAGATAACCGCGGGAGCGAATGCATGTTCCTGCAAGAAGAATGATGGGTCCAGCGTTCAGGTCTGATGTGTGATTTGCTGAAGGTTATGGTGGTTGGCTTGATCGTTTGCATGGCAGGGATGTCTGTTTGCCGGCTTTGAGCGTCTTTCGTCCGATTTTTTCAGCACTTGTTTCTTCTTGTATATACCATAATCTATTACCACTGAGTTCATTAGGTTATGCTCATGCAGATGTGGCAGATGCTATTGGCTCAATCGTGTGACGCAGCCACCCGGTCATGGTATTCACTCCTAGAGATATCTGACAACAAACAAGCAGGTGAATACGTCTTCAGATGGTATGTAGAGAGGAGACTATTGAATAAGTCCCTAAGCCATTCACTGCTGGGTATCCACTGCACCTTGGTTGCAGACTTCACTGGCATACATATTCACTCAGCCACCCCCTTCTCCGTCCCTCATGCGCCTTCCATCCTCTTCCTTGCTGTATACTATACAGTCATCACGATGATTTCCAATGATGGCTTGTCGATGACCTCTCTCATTTGATCCCTCTCATCTTTGGCCTCGCAAACCTTCTGGTTCGATTGGCTTTCCTAGTTCGTGCAGCATGAACCTGATTCGATTGAGATGCGCCTCCATCATTTGGGAGTGCTACATTCTCATCTCCATCTGCTCATCAGTCTCAATGTATGCACCTCAACCCGTGTGGCCTTAACTTTTTGTTAGCCATCTCGCCATCGCCTTATCTGAAGACTTGAGCAACTTCTCCACCTCCCTCAAAACAATGCAGGCATCTCTCGAAGCCCAAACGGAGGGCTTACTTCTCACAGGCATTACTTTGGATAATGTCAACCAGAGAACAGATAGTCTTGGGGACTGCAACGGACACCCAACCCAACTATTGGTGAGACATTCATATACACACTGTAGTCATTCGCTAACCACCCCTGTTATAAAGAGAAACAGGACAAAATCTCCAGGATATGGTCAGACGACCCAGAATGGAGGTCTGGATCGAGAGCCCCGAGAAACATCCTCGGCCGTACGAGAAGCAACTTAGGGATGTATTCTCCGTTGCAAAATCAGGCATGTATCTTCTCGATTTCCAGCAGAGCTGAAGCTGACTTACAACGTTGCAGTACAACTTGCCCGATACATGGACGATCTCAGGTTCCTTAACGAAACCCACGGTGATGTGTGGTCTCCCACAACACGGTTAGGGGACCACGAGCTGGATATTCCTCCTGGAAAAGAATGTGCTACGTGGATGCTCAATTGGCGATACGGCTTCATCGCCTCTGTAATTCTTTTGGATTGTCCCACAATAGGTAATTACTCATTTGAACTACCGTATGACTAGGGCTAATATGACATCGACACGTCAAGTCAGTGTAGTTGACGACGATAACTGCCAATACGGATTCATACCGACATATCTGGGGTGTTGACTGACGATGCCAAAGTATTTTCCTAAAACAGCAGGTATGTATTCCCATGCTCACCGATTGCATGCAATGACGCTTAGTCGATATATAGGTCAAACCATAATATTGGAATGAAGTCCGGCTGCGAGACGGATGTTTGACAGTTACCAGTCTATTCGCCGTACTCTACAGTCTACGCACAATTGAGTCTATAGGACCTCTCCGCCCATGGTCTGATTTCTTCAGAGTTTCATATCAACTGATGAGCGTGAGAAGTCATCAAATATTCACAGCAAGCACGCGATATCGAGGTGATAGCTCAGCACTCATACACTTCGAATCTGAGACTATCGAGAACTGATCTGGACCTCCCGGCCCTCTCGCTGGTTCACAATTGATCACCTGAAGCACACTGCCAATCGATCCGATTGGTGAATGAAACAGTCGGAGCCAAGTCACGGAGGCATACAAGGCTTGGCCCACGGACAGCTCCCACCAATATTCATAACGATAGTATTTTTGCAGTCGAAAGAAATGTGAGTCGTCCAGATTGATCCATTGAATCTTCATCTAATCCAGTATTCGATTAAGCAGACTTCAGCTTATGCCTCGATTCCCGCTCCCCTCTTGCTTGCGGATTATACTGTGAATGGCTTGGTCACATTCCAGCCCAGCTTATACCGGCAGACACAAGGGAAAGACTATCCCATAGGCTTTCTAAAGATTGCGCAAAATGGCGCATTTGCCGCATTGCTCCCGCCGAGGGTTGGTTCGAAGCCTGGGGACCGCCTCAAGATGATCGAAGCAAACCTCAAGACGAGAAATTATGGAGAGTATGCAGCCACGCCGAAAGTCTTTCAAAGGACTCAGCAGTCCAAAGTTGAGCTTGCACGACTTGGAGAAAGACATCCTCATGCGTTTGTTATATCTGAAAGAACGGACGACCCAGCATCCTGTTTTGGCTTTTCGGGTAACTTTAAAGGATGAAAAGGGGGATCAAAAAGTCGTCTATCCGACATCACCGCCTACTATTCGAAAGGAATCATATCCAGTAAGCCTATTTCCCTTTGTCATTGGGTAGCAGTCGTTGTCTAATGCTTACGGTAGCTACTCTAACGACGCCTGCAGAGAACTCCCTATATCTCGCTGCTCATATGCGCGGCTCTGTCATATGCCCTTCGCGAAGCTAGGGAGGGCTCATTAGTACAATGAGGCCTGGACCATGCCCCGAGCTCTAGACTTCGGGTACTAGCTTTAGACGAAGGGATTCAGGCTTCACAGGATCGGTAAAACTTTGACGTCGATGAAATTTCTGGATCATTGAAAGGCATCTCGCTTGGGCCGCCAAGGCACCAGCGCGCAGGGATGAACCATACGTCTTTTTTGATCTTCCCCGAGATGCGAATGCGTCCTTTGACAGAAGCAACTGGCTGGATCGGGTCTCCCACTTTCACAGGACGGGTAAAACTTTGACGTTGATGAAATCGCAGCTGTTTGGATCTACAGCAGACAGATTGTCGAATAACACAGTCAGCGTTAGTAACGCATCATTAGCTGCGACGTTTACCGCGAAAGACGCCTTGGTGCTCTTTGGCATTGGACTTGGTAGCACTGCTGCCTTAGCTGTGTTGTTTGTGTTCGTGTACTGGTGTTAATGCGCCCATCAATAGACGGTAAATGCCATCTCCCGTCTGCTGGGCATTCATGTCATCTACAACCGCTCCCACACTTCGCAGCTGACACGGCATGTGAGACTGCTGATAAGTTTATGCAGCTAACTCACATGTCTATGGACGTCTTGCATGTTTACTGGCCAGTTTCGGAAGCTAGAGCTTTCCCAACCCACGAAAGGGAGACAAGGAAGACAGAAGAATGGAGATATCATTCGCCTGCAAGAGAAACGGCAAGTCTACCTAAAGCCATTATGACATTAGTGGTCTTACCTCCATATCCACAATAAGGACACCACTTGCCCTCACTCAGACAATGGCCGCAGAACGTCATGCAAACTGGGATGAAGGTGGTCTCCTTAAGCCAGACGAGAACAACCGAGGAAATTGGGACTGACGATCTGATTGCTTAGCTTGAGACGACTGATTGACGTGACAATTGACACAATCTGGCATCTTTCCTCCACCACAGCTGGGGTTCAGTCGAGTACTTCTCTGGTTGTGAATGTCCTTCGTTCACCCGCCCGTATCCATCAAAGGACAACGAACTATATCGGTTTGTATACCATGAAGATTTACTACCATTCTTGGTTACCGTTGTGTCGAGGCAGACATCAAGTTAGCTTTCCTGCAAGGGAAATTCTTTAATGACGAAGTCGTCTACATGAAACAACCTCAAGGCTTTGACGACATGTCCGGTCCGGTATGCGAGCTCCTGCTCCCTCTTATGGCCTGGAGCAATCGGTTTCCTGCTGACATGAATATAGGCATCTTACCTTAAATACCCGGACCTGGGGGCCAATGTTGCCCTCATCTTGTCTCTCCAAGAGGTCATAGACATCGTTCCAATTATCCGGAACATTTAACGATGTCCACTTCACAGCTACTTTCAGAAAGGGACGGTATATGGCATCTACAGATGGGGCATTACGCTCCATGAATGAACATAACTGATGAGCTTTGTCGAAGTAAAGAAGAGGATGAGATACTATCCTCATGCAGGAGGGATCAGAGATGGTTGGTTGGAACATAAAACAACGGTCTACTTGTCCCAGACCTCAACAGTTGGTTGGTGTCAATCTATGAACCATTTTCATTGCACGCACTAACCATTACTTGAACTTCTAGTCCTCTCATGCCCTCTCATGACAGACACGGAATATACGTGACGAATGCGTCGTAACACCAAGATTTCCAGGGGAACTCCCAGAATACAGAACTTTCTTCACAGCAGGCACTGGCAGTGACGCTTGCGTCTTCTTCGCAAACAGCTCAACACTGGATGCTCACATATTTTAGCGACCATCATCAGCTGGCTAACGTGGTTTTGATTGAATCATATGTGAGTAGCCCCTTCCTTGGTTGTGTATTGCTGCCGTGTCATCATAGCTGACATGCAGGTAGTCCGAAGATGAGATATTCCCAATCAACAACCGGCAAATTCGTTCGAGATGAAAGACTGCTGGCTAGCCAGCGTCTGCTCCTGCTACCAGCTTGTGCTGAACCCGAAGCGTACGCGGTGCCAGGGTCTGCAAGAGGCATGCAAGGAATCCGCCCAGCGGTTCGTCACCCACCTGTCCGGATGGTTTGGCCGCGTGGTCTGCGATGAAGGCCACGCGGCCAAGACCATCCGGACACGAGTCCACCAGTCTGTCACGCGACTCGAGGCAGAGCATGTCTGGTTCCTGACGGCGACCTCAACTCATGGGACCCGGAGCGTCCCAGCCATCACTTCATCCACGATCACAACTCCCAAGTGATGTTCAAATAAGGTGGCGGCATATCCGCTGGTGTGTTTGGATAGGTCAGTGTACTATCCCTGTATGCATGATGGGGAGGAACATCGACGGCAGTGCATACTGCCTAAGTTTACGATGCCACAACCAGGTATTATGAGAATACAGCAGAGGGACCTGTTCTGCGAGGGTAGCGGGTACGCATACTGAGGGATTCCGACTCGGGCGTCGACTTATTGTCTTCTGGGGAGTACAGCACCCAGCTGCAGTCTACCTCGTCGCCAACTTGAGAGAAGGCTACGGACCACAGCGGAGATACGTGCGCGCCATAGTTGCTCAACACTTACCCAGTACGACACCATCGCTGTTTGCAGTCATGCCCGGTTTCACGACTGGGACGCTGGCAGATCTGCAGCTGTACACTGCGCAGAAGGGCAGCCTCTATATCAAATAGACCAAGAACAGAGGTGTCGAATTCGCCATCCCAGCGAGGCCGCAGTGAGTATCAGGTCTGAGTGCAAATGACACGGACCTCACCTGACTGCCCGATGGTCATTAACACATCAATATTTGCTGGCTCAACCAACGATAGACTGCATGAGACCGGTCGCAGTGGCAGACTGCGTTCCCTATTCACATTGTCGCCTATGTCGCCCACTACGGTACCCATGTCCCGACTGCCAGTCACATCTTCGGGCTTGACAGCATTATGGCACTGAGTCTTCTTGATGATCAGCGAAACTTGGCCACAAATCCTTCTGCTAATCCTGAAGGTCGTCCAATCTCCGAACTCGTCCCATCCCCGAACCAACCAACGAGGAACCAGCAGGACCCAGTGACCGGGTGCTGGACCAGTTACTTACCATCTGTATACTGTTATCCTTCTTCCTGGTAAGTTCAACTGCCTTGGAAATATGGAGCCTTTTCCGTATGCTAATCCTTTATGCCATCTCCCTTCGAAGAATCTGAAGATGATGATTGACTCTGTGTGTACTGTCTATACGGATAATAGTCCATATTCTAACACACGAGTCCAGTTATCAGACGGAGGCGTCCCTTGTTGTTCGATTGGTTCGCGCGAACCATCCGTTTTGAGAAATTATGACTATCAATCAACCGTCTGGTACCTACCAGGGAAACGATGGGGTCGGGGTTGGAGGGAGAAAGCTTGCGTTTTAGAAAAGTTTACCGGTCTACAGGCCGTGCGTGGAAAACAACACAAGACTCGCCTCGCCATTCACGGGCGCGAGGTATGGGTCTGGTGTGTCGTTGTATCCCGTAGGCACGGCAAAGTCCCATTTTCACCAAGTCCCGTTCTCACGTTTCACTGGGGCGAGAAAACGATCGAACCGGGCAGTTGGGCATATCCCTCGTGCACTCGGAAAGTGAGGGTGCCATACCCTTAACAGGCTGAGACGAACGACAGTCCACTGTCACGACCAGATTTATTACTCTGAAGCGCAGGAAAAATGGACCTCTGTAGTGTATCTCCGAGAGAACCTACTAGGTCGCGAAAAAGATAGCTTCACATTCAGAGGCTTCTGTTTGAACATATCCGGGGAAGGTGAGTTCTTACCAATTCTTCACTCGCAAGGCAGAGCCTAACACTCAGGGCAGGCGAATGCGTATCATCCTGGACAACCATTAGCCCCGAAAATTTTCAAGTCGTCCTTGCTGCTGATGGGACGGGAGCAGCACGCATGCAGCAATCCTGCCCTTTGTTCTGGAGCAGGGAACAATACAAGACATTCCTGGCAATGCTACGCCCTCTCCACTCACGTTAGAGTTCGAACTCATTTGGTCGACCACAGAATTCATGGACGGGAAGAACGAAGCCGCGCATGAGCGAGCAGGATTGTTCACCCGTCTGCGCGTAGCAATGTCTGATCTCCACGATTACTCCCCCAACGGTGTGGACTCAGCAGTCAGTGCCAGCTCCCAATTGAGCCCGTCCTCTGTTTCATTACTTCGACTGCCATCACCAGGACATACACGACCAGGAAGCAAACCGAGCAAAACCCAGGATTTTGAATTGCAAACTCTCAAGTGCAAACTTTCTCCTAAGATTGTTGCCATGGTGCTTGACGGAGACACATGGCAACTTCAGCCCACAGTTAACACAGCGAAAGAACAACCGGGATGGAACAAGTTCAGCTACCAAATAGAGATGTCCCTTGTTGTTCGATTGATCCGGAACCATCCGGTCGCGAAACTAACAGGGTAGCGTTCTTTCCGATGTCGCCCGACGAAGTTTCGCGCCCTTTTTGAACAAACGCATCTACAGGGGCGAAATACTCTCTCACCTTGTGACCGACTCTCTGAGGGTAAACCCTTATTGGGACAAAATGGTACGTGACATTTTCAACCCGCTCAGGCATTCGTTCTCAGACTGAGGAGGAGAATTACAGCAGTGTTCATTACACATAAACATCCCCTGGAGATTTTTGGCATGAATCCCATATGTTCTTTTCATGGATCCAACATACCCGACGAACGGATAAAAGTCGCCTCTCCTGGATATGGCTTCAAGGAATGAAACGAGACATTCGATACTGGCTTTGCATTCGTCAAGTAATGTGAAGGCCCCAAGCGACGAAAGGGAAACAAGCAGATCAAATTCTCACCCCAAGCACCTCTCAGCCAGAGCAGAGAAGGATCCCTGGCTGGCCTACACTGATAATCCAAACCGGAATGAGCGCATGCATCCAAAGCTGGAGGCGGACGAGTACGCTCTCATCCTCCACAGCAACGGGTGGGATCCTGATTTGGACGATCATAACGATGATCTTTCAAACTACCTCTTAAATCTACCCAAACCACTCCTTGCGAGATTGCCGGTGCGGACTACGACAAGGATTTTGTCCAGAACCTGCCCTGCGCCTGGCGGGCTGCTTTAAACTTCAAGGCTCAGCCGCCGTCATGGCCCTCATTGATGCTGACAGCTCAAAGGTGCTGTGCGGAATAACGTGGTAGAATAGTTGCAAGACTTGAATGTGCTCCGTGCTCTGCTCGGCCCAACCAAGGCCATGGGTCAGTGTCCTGAGTGTTAAAGCAACTCGGATCCCGGAGTTGACGGTGCTGTGGTTTATGATTCGACTCATGAAGGCCAAGAGCTCCCTTCCCGCGCACCAACCTAAGTGCAGAAACCATTGTCCTTGACACATACGACGCCCTTCACGGGTAGAAGTTGAAGTTGCTAGATTTCACCTGGAAGCAAATACAGGGAGGAAAGAAGGCTAAAACGAAGCCCCACGCCTGCTTCGACTCGGGGCAAGGCGAATCGCACGACGCAATTCGATTATATGACAGATCAGTCACAGACGTACATCAGCATGCCAGGGGGGGAAGGGGGGCACCCCACACACTGCATGAAGGAGATGTCATCAGAGTCTGGAACTCTATATTGCACAATTGGAAGAGGTAAATTTTCTCAATGGACCCCTTTCTGATGGCCCACAGGAAGACGCTTGCATCAAATCTGCCAAAGGAGCCACGGTCGAGCAAATGTTGCAAGCCGAGATGGACCTCGATGAAGACCCTGATGTCATCCTCCCTGAGGATCAATTGGAAGAAGCAGTAAATGCTATCGACCAAATCCTGTCCCGATGATCGACAGGAAGATGCCGCCATCAAAGCTGTCAAAGAAGCCAAGGTCAAGCGAGTGCTGCAAATAGAGATGGATCTCGCTGAAGACCCAGATGCCCTCCTTAAGATGGACGAGCAGACTTTGGAAAAGGCTAGGGAAAAGTCAGCGGAGCCTGGAACGCGATATTGAACTGAGTCTCTGACCCAGTTAATGGGCTCATCACGCACTCCATGCTATGCACGCGCAATATGGGGGAGAGATGGGATTTTCCGACTCTCATACCATGAGGGTGGCCAGCGGGGCTCACCGGTCCTTCCTAATCACTCAATGCAAGCCTTGGGAATGGAGTCTGGAACTCCATTTGAACTGGGTGTTTGACCCGGTGAACGGTTATATCACGCGCGCGAGTCTATTTGCTGGTTTAGAGGACGCCGTCGATCCGACGCAACTTCGTTCACTTGTTTACTCGGGACCGAGTAACTCGGAGGAGATGGGCACGTATATGGGCCACCATGCATGACCATATAATCAACCTACTGCTACGAGCAATACAACTGGAAGTCGAGAGAAAAAAGCTTGACCGACCTCGAGGCCTCCAAAGTAAAGCTGGAAACTATCCAACCACTGGCAATGCTTACCCAAACTGGAGCAGCCAGGGGTTTTTCAGATTTCAATACCCTGGAGGTAGCTGGAGGAACACGCCGTTCCTTTCTCATTATGCAATGCAAGGGCAGAAGGCGAAGGGCAGCATGTAGTCTGGTTGGATGGGGCAGGCCAGCTCCTGAGATACCTCAGGACGCAGCACGGAAACAGCTGCGCCCCTCAGCGCCCCGCCTATGGGTTCCTCGCGATCGGAAGAATGATGCGCTTCTTCCAGTATGATCGTGCCACAAACTCAATCAGGGGCTACCGTCCGGGCAAAGAGTGCTATCCGCTCGAGCGGGAGACTGCCTTGGTCCAGAATATCCTAAGACAGACACTCAGCAATCGCTAACTTCTTTAACGCCCTGTACTCGCGGACTGCCTTTATTCTTGCGGGCAAGCTTCGGCCACAACCGTGGCCTTGCTTTGCTGCGCTTTCATCGCTCTTCAAAACGCAAGACTCCGAAGTTCGAACAACACAACAAATGTCGCGGTGATTATTCTTCATGTTGACCATCTATGTATCCATTTATGGTGCACCTTTGCAGTCGCTGCCACACAGTCTCTGCTCTACCCGGCGGAATCCAGCCTGCAGGAATTAAAGGAAAAGGTCAATGGGACCTTCCGCATCTTTGATGAGCCCTAGCGAGTCCGACTCGTTGAACCGCAGAGAAGCTCAAGATGGCATTATGGGCTCTTGAAGTCCTTATCGAGGATCAATTTGGCATTTGGCGCAGCGGCCAGATTGTCATTGCAGATGGAATTCAAGCAGAGGTCGAGAATTAATCCATAAACGTGGCTTATTCATCAAAAGTCAACTTGATCCAAACAAGTTTGTTTGGAACATGAAGAAGCTTCGAAAGCTGTCAGCGAGAGAAGTTGCCAACGGATATTGATGGACGGCGACTAATCTATTCCGATAGCGACGAATGGACCGGCTCGCTCATCTTCCCAATGGTCTGGCGCCTGTTTTTGAACAGCAAAGACAGGAAACTCTTACTGTTCGCGCGACACCTTGCAATCAATTTCTCGGCTGATACGCAGAGTCGAAAGCATGTCGCATCCAAACGGAATGCGATGGAGATAGAATACACTTCGGAAGACGCGCAAAACAAACGCAAACAAAGAAGCGAAGATGCTTCGGACGCTTCAGCTCGCCCCAAACCCTCGCAGCACAATGACGATGACCACTCACGGAAGGGGTGGGGAAATTCACTTCTATCCAGTGGGGGCAACGGAAAATACAACCACCGTGAGGCCCAAATATCAGGCAGATCTTTCGCGCTGCTTTGAAGCACCCATCATCTATATGGATACGCCGGCTCGCAGAGCTAGGACTCGAGACAGCCATAGAGAAATGATTCTCTTGCTCGATGAACAGCCCGCTGGCCAACGCATATGCCCGAATATATGGGATTCTAGAGCGGCAACGCGACTGCGGAAATGAGTTACCTATTAGGGAAATGGATATGACTCCATGTGCGATAGAAAAGGCAGTAGGCAGCTCGCTGAGAGAGGTCCGTCTTGGGGCTATTGCTGCTTTGGGATTTCTACTTGAGCTCACCTGTTACATTTGCAGGAAGATCAACAAGAGAAAAGCACAGGACCTACTGAAGGAAATGCAAGACAAGCAGGGCAAGAATATTAAAAAGCTCGAGACATTAAACCGACAGCAGATAAAGGTCCTTCAACGCCAACACCAACAGCTCATAGAACTGCTTCAGCACCATCTGTCTTGGAGAGGGATGGTAAATCAGATTTCTTAGGCACGGTTCATTGAAATGGGCGCGATCAAAGACCCCGGCTGAACCTTAACACACTCTGCAAGGCAGTCGGGCAGATTCACCGTCTCGGCCAGAGGGGACCCCAGAAGACCTGGATGCTGTCCCAGGAGCACTCAATAGTGCGGTGGATTGAGTGCAACGTCCCGATCACTGCAAACAAGGTTTCGAATACGTGCAGACTGCCCCCCGCAAAGTCCGACTGTACATATCCGCCAAGGAGACAAGCCGTACTACATCGTCTTTGGTGAATATTATGTCCTCTGCGGCTCTCCCCGCAGAGCTATAAGACAAAGGCTCATTGGAAGCTGGGCTAATGGAGTCTGCACAACGGGTTTGGAATGAGCTCAAGCCATGCTGGCCGACCTCAGCTCGAGGTGTACAGATGGCCGAATATGAGGTCGGGCTCCATGTCGATACCGGATCCATTGCTGGGTAAGGATCAATCAATCTGGACAGGAGGCAGCCCGACCTGGTAATGGGCAGTACCAGAAATTGTCATTCACGAAGCTTCGCGCCTAACGGAACCCGAACTCTGGCCCATGCTTGCTGGTTTACACCGACAGCCATTCTACTAGTTGACGACCATCAGCAACAGCGATCCCTCGTCTTCAGCCGTCCAAAGAAAAATCCTTGTTAAAGTCAGCTACAGTATCCCTTTTAACGAGGCTGAAGCTGAATGGTCTCTTTGACCTGACGGTTACCGAACAGTACCGCATGGTCAACCGACTTTGCGATATGGTTAGCGGAGTGTTCTATGTCTCCCAGCTTTCCACCACCGAATCCCTTGACGACAGTGTTGGACAGCGGCAGAACCTCGGTTTGTACTCCCTAAAACAATTTTTTGATAATCACCCCATTCCCAAAGACGCTGACCGGTCAGGACAAGTAGCACGATACATGGACGATCATCGCTATCGCTTCGGCTTCTATTCGGCCCACGAACGAACAAGGCTTCTGGCGAGAGCTTCGCTGACCTTCCGGCTGTCAGACCTAGTTTGGCACAATCAAGTAGCATCTAGTACCCGGCCATCCACACGGCTCCGAGGACAGTGGCGTGTTCAACGCTCCGCGGCCAAGAACGGATCATCATCATGTTCATTTATCCAAATTGAACGGTTAAACGAGGTCTTCGAGCGCTGAAAGAAGTTCCTGAGCTGTAGTGCGAGCCCTGGCCGAGGCCAAATGAATGGTAATGGGGAGCTCGCCCCCGGTCATGGGCAAGGACTTACCGACCTATACCAGGAACTTGATGTCAGTGAGGGGGGCCTATCGTGGTTGATCGCACGATTGAAACAGGCAAGATAAAGAGCAGAGCTGTTATTGATTTTCGTGACATCAACGCTGCTGTCATTCCAGACATATATCCAATGCTGCCACAAGCTGAAATAATTGCCGAATTGGCGGGATGTCCATACATCACGGTTATAGACGCCACCGCTATGTTTTAACAATGGCCAGTTCACCCGGATTCACAATGGTTTACGGGGGTATCACGCACCGAGGACAAGAGTACTTTAACGTTTGTCCCATGGGGTTTATCAACAGCCTTCCTCAAGACCAGCGTCAAGTAGACGGCTTGATCTTCAAATCCATGAGACATTTTTTCTTTGCATTTATATTGATGACTTCGTCATGCGTAACAAGACGCTTGACGAACACAAACAGCATTTCTTGGATTTCCTACCACTGGTCATCTTTCAACACTATAGAGGGCCAAAGAGAATGAACATGTGATCCTTGGAGACCACTACTGAGTCGATCCTCTTCCACGAGTTTCCGGGTTGGGAGTCGCTCAACCTTCTTCTGGAAACGGAGACTCCTTCTTAATCGACTTCAGCAACGCTCGTCGCCCAATATGCAAAGGGCGAGAGAGCCAAGGTTATTGGTGGACACGCTCATACCAGAACCGCCCCCTTATACAAGACTTTCTGATGTCCAGGTGTTCAACGTCGCCACACAGGACATAACGCAGGTCGACAAACGGCGAGTGGCGTAACAAGGACAGAGCCAGATTGTCGTTCGGACAAGTCGAGGACAAGTCGAGGACAAGTTGAAGTTCTCGCACTAACTCAGACCGAAAAAGCCGTGATCATTGATTCCAACGACGTCAAAGTTGGCTGATGCAGAGACATCACTCTGAGACTGTCAGGGGTGGAGGGTTGAGTTTCGATCATCCATGGCTGAGCAAATGTCATAGTCCGGTGTTGCAGGCTGGCGGTCTCACTGCCATCGATGGTGGTGATCCTGTTTCCGAATAGCCACTCGATGTCGTCGATTCGTCCGAGGCAGCTTCGCGTGCAAAGACCCCTGACAACACGGCTGAGTCCTCTTTGAAAGATGGCCCTGAGGCTGTTGTGTCCTCTCCTGCGAGAAACACGCGCTCCGTTGCGAAGCGATCCCGCTTCAAGCCAATGATTGTCAATACTCCCGGCAATTCCTCGAAGGAGACTACACCTGTTTCCAAGAGAAAAGAAGAGGGTGAGGCACTCTATCTTCTTCGAGATGGTTTCATCGGGCTGACGCGTATGGTGTAGTCACGTTCTTGCGCCGTCCTTCCGTTCCTTCGTTCGTATCTCGCTGTTCTCGCTCTCCTTCCGAAACTTCCTTTATCAGTTCTTCGATGGCCAAAGGCAAACATCGTCTCGACCAAGTCGGTGTTTCCCCGAGTCCTTCTGCAAAGAAGAGAAAGAGGCATCCCCTCGACGGCACTGTTCTCCCTTGGCCTGGGTCGATATCCGATTTCGAAGATCTCAGTCAACTTCGAATGATTCGGGAGGACCTCGCTCTTTTCTCTAAGGTCGTCAACGGGAAAATCTCGAAACTTGAGGAAGCTCTTCGCCCCGTCGAGCGTATCTTTCCAGAGTATTCAGGGCTGTTTATGGATCGTAATTTCGTCGGAGACAGGAATCGAAACAGCGATCAACGCTGTGCTCAATATTCCTGGCATAACCTGGACAGCCGCTCTGCAAGAAGTTAGCAAGTCGCTCCTCGAGTTCCCAGACCGTCTTCTGTTTATACAAGGCTTTCCAGGGACGGGTAAAACTTTGACTTTGACGGGAATCACAGCTGTTTGCCGTTTGCTAGACATTCACGGCATCTATACCACTCCCACGCACACAAGTTTATGCAGCTAACTCATATGTCTATGGACATCTTGCGTCTTTACATGCGCCTTTCGGAAGTTAGGGTTTTCCAAAACCCACGGAAGGGAGACAGGAAAGATAGCAACTGAAGATGAAGAGCAAAAGTTCAATCCATCAGAATGTATCCAATTGGACCCTAATGCCGCAAAGCGCTGCCGAAGGCCGGAAACCGGACGATCAGTGACTCTGTGTGTAGAATCATGGTTACTACACGTTCCGCTCGCCGTGCTCGCGGTCGTCGGGGGTCGCGGACGTGCCGCACCACCTCTGCGACCCAGACGAGAACTTCCATTCTAATGAATGTGTCCTCTAAGAGTCAGGTTCTGATCTCTCAACTCTTCAACAATATGAAAGAGGATCACTTGCTAAGCAATACGGGGCCCCGTCTAGATCTTTGGAGGGCCATGTGATCCATCTCACCATGAACGAAATAAGAACGCTCAATGCTTGCTAGAGCACGACTGCATGCCAGTGTGATGATCTCGCAGGTGGCGGCCCTTCATCCATTTGTCATCAGAGCCAACTACCACAGTCGTCGCGGGCTCATCTCGACTCGCAACTCGCGTTGGTCAAACTGGCTTTTGGTTCAATGAACTCGAATACTCACAGAGTTGGTTGTACAGGGCCTGGGCCGTCTATTCCGAGGAAAATCTGGACACGTGCTTCCCCAGGCTTTTCGTGCCCTAACAGCAAAAGAATGAGAGACCCTCCGAGCGAAGAAGCTCGAGGGAAACAAGAAGAACTATATGTCACATCCGCCAGCGTTTAACACCTTTGGTGCTGCTCAAACCGCATCCCATAAAGAGCCTAACCAGTGTTTTACTAAATGACCTTTCCCTCTGGTTATTGAATCCGGCTGGAGTGAGAGCTAGCGATGTCCTCCGCTGCATTTGTATCACGTCAACAATCTGCTGCAAGGGAACGATTTCAAAATTCCGGTGAAGGACAATGGAATTTGTATTTACCTTCTACGGAGATCTTACGCCTGATCAAATTGCCGTGGTCGTGTGCAAGTTGTTAGCGGGGTGACGTTGATGACTGGAACAATCGGCGAGCCATTCGTCGTCATCTCAATTGCTATTTGTGAGCCACCCCTTGGTTTCTTTGATTCTCTCTTATCACTTCTACAGTTCAAAATGCCCTCCAGAGCGAGGCGTCAGCAGAAGAAGAACAGGGAGCAGAGCAACAAGAGCAAGAAAACGTCAAATGTCAGATGGCGAAAAGACCTGGTCAATCCCTGATTTCAATATCCCGGCCAACAGAGAAGAGCTTGAAGAACTGGCCAAGATAGGAAAAGTACCCCCAGTAAACGAGCTGGAGCAGCAAGCCTTTGCTTCGGGCAATCAGATAACACAGATCCAATTCGCCGCACTCCGGATCATTTCGCGGATGTCAGAGCCTGCAAGAAGTTGAATTAATCGAACCTGAAGAGCAATATAGTCTTTTCATTGGTTTCGTACGAGGCAGAAAAGCTCATTGAAACTGCGAAGAGTCCAATGTCTATCCGGTGGTACAGGATACGTATACGCCAACACCACCAGCGAACACCCACTTGCCAGATGTCCAAATGCAAAAACTGATCACGTACGGCATATCACGCAAGCAGATAAGTACCAGGACTGGCCTTTTGACTTCGGCCCGGGGGCGAGATCACACTGGATCCAGTATCACTCTGGCATATGTCCTCGACAAGCTCTCCCAACAGCGGCCAGCCATTTGACAAGCAGGCAACGAATCTACAAGTCTCCAGCGAGGCAAACATCAAACTTGCAGGAACTCAAAGGACTATCACACTTGCCGCGCAAACAGGTGATAGACTGATCATTGAACCTATTTTGGACCGGATCCATCCACGGCTTGTTGCACAACCTCCGACGATATGTTCAGTCGCATGAGCGAGCTGGCCTCTTCCAGAATTCAACAGTTGCCCTTGCACCGACTCCGTCAACCTTTTTGTAATATTGCTCGTGGAATTTACAGCAATAGTCAAGATACCGCATGGCACTATGGGGTAGAAATCCATATGGCGTGGAATTCATGGAGTTCCTTTTATACAATCAGACACCCCAGATTGGCCCAAACCTACCATACGCCATGTAGCATTTTCAAAGGCAGTTACCCTCAAGCTACGTGGTCTTGAACAGCGAGGTTTTCCTATCGTCCCAAGTCCAACCCAGGTATGGCGGTGATCCGATCACAGTGATCTCGCCTAGTGAAAAGTCCCTTACCTCCGTGCGAGTGTCTACTGTCTACATACTTTTACATGCAGTAATGAATTCAATCAGTGTCTTCATATTCCATAGTGTTATCTTACAGTGCCTACTAAGCCGAACTGGATAACATATTTGGTCTTGGTGGTTCTGCCCTTAGCAGACGGCAGTCGTCGATCTGGTAGGGCTATTTGTTATGGCAAGCACTCCTCTCCTTTTGTTTCTCTCCCTCTCAGCTAGATTTAGATCTCTGAGTTTCATTCTGTTCTTCCTTCATGAGGTCAACTCATGTGAGCATGGTGACTGCTGGCATTATCACCAGTACGCTGCGCTACTGGGACGACGGTGACGCGTGGTTAACTTCAACTTGTTACATGACCCTTAGTTGTAAACGCTACCCTTAGCAAGCAGGCCTGGCCACTCCATGCTGTGCAAGTTGCATCCATAGTTAAATACGTCGACTACTGTATATCGAATCTCAAGTTACAGATGGAGGCTTTGATGATTTCTGGCGCTGAAGAATGTATGTACGGGCACTTTTATTTCTTGTAAGTCTATCGAGTACAAATTTGGTGGTACTTCTCCCGCAGCTGATTAGATATCATCTGGTGAGACAAGCTTCCTTCGAAGACGGTGGTGTTTGCCAAACGATGCGTTAAGGGAACAGAACCATGTTCCAACACTTAGAAATTTGTATTGAATTATGAATATGGAAAAAGTTTTTGTTCAGCTCTTCGACAGAGTAGCAATCAAAGATTCATATCATCATGAACAAGCCAGTCGTTCCCATCTACGCCCAAACGCCGTTAATGCTAATCATGGCAACAAATCTAAAATCATGGCAGTACATCCTTGAGGATATCCTTCTGCGCGGTCGTCAGACTGGTCGGGAACTTGACGTTCACGCGCACGATGAGATCGCCCCGCTCGCTCGGTTTCTTTGACATCGTCATTCCCAAGCCCGGGAACTTTTCTTCGTAGCCGGGTGGGGTGGGACCGGGCTTGGAGACACGGATGGATTTGCCGTCGATGGTGCGCACGATACGTTCCCAGCCTGTCAGGGCTTCCTTGAGAGAGAGCTCGACCGTTGTGATGAGGTTGTCGCCCTGGCGTTTGAAGTTGGGGTTCGGTTTCTATTCGCCGTTAGTATTATCTGGACATGGACTTGGGCTTTGAGTGTTAGAATTGCAAACTTACCTCTGTAACGATGAGATGGACATCCTGACGTCCGCCCTCTTCCTGATCCCCGACACCGCGGTACTTGATCTTCGAGCCCGTCCGCAGACCAGGCTTGATATTGGCCTCCAGCGTCACGTCCTGGACGGTCCGCTTCCCGCTCGCATCGAATGTCTTGCTCTTCACCGTCACCTTCTTCGTCGTTCCCTTGAAAAGCTCGTCCAACGTCAGCGGCAGCTCCTTCTCCACGACCGTCGGCTCAGGCGTCGGCGCCCGGTTCGCCTGCTGGAATCCTCCTCCTCCCGCACCGCCAGCACCAGCACCAGCGCCGCGACTTGTCCTGAACCCACGACCACCACCACCTAGCCCGCCCAGAATATTAAACAAGTCATCATCTTCCAATCCGCCGCCCATACCGCCCCCGCTCGCCTTCGCAAAGTTCCGGAAGATATCATCCGCCGAGCTGAAGCGGAACCCGCCAGCGCCGCCGCCTGGACCAGTCGAGAAATGGAACGTGCGGGTTCCCCCACCGCCGGGCATCCCACCAAAGGAGAACCCGCCAGGCATGCCGCCCTCGAAGCCTTCGAATCCGCCCGCACCGGCGCCACCGCCGGGCCCGGGGGCCGGGCCGCCGCGCAATAGGAACTCGAGGCCGTATTGGTCGTAGACTTTACGCTTCTCGGGATCGGAGAGGACTTCGTAGGCTTGAGAGACCTCTGCTTTTGTTAGAACTGCTCACCCTCTGACAAGTCTTGTGATTGGGAGCTACTCACCCTTGAATTTCTCCGCCGCCTTGGGATCATCTTTGTTCTTGTCTGGGTGATATTTCAGGGCCGCTTTCCGGTAGGCCTTTTTGATGTCGTCTTGTGAGGCATCGGGTTTAATATTTAGAGCGTCGTATAATTTCGTTTCTGCGACCATTGTGTATGTCTATGTTCAATGTGCTGTGGTATAGAGGAATTGGCGAAGGTAAACAAGATAACAAAGATAATATAAACTATTAGACTGGGAAAATAATCAGGCCACAATTGCACCTGTCATGCGATAGTGCGTATTACGTTGTGGAGGAGAAGATTGGTGTAGGCTGAAGGGGAATCTCGAATGACGTAGAAGATTCCTGTTGCGATAAGATGAGGCTTGTAGTTGTAGCAGTTGCACGGTTGTCGGCAGTCGACAACGAACAGTTCGATTCCAAGATGAAATATGCACAATACAAAGCCACCCTAATACGTTTTGTTTGAGAGAACTATCGAGAGGAAGAGGAGGAAGAGAAGCGGTTGGGCTGCTGGCTGGTTATCTTGAATCGCGGAGGGAGTGACGTGTGACGTTGATGGCACAGTTCCCCGCCTGAGGCATGGAAGCTTCGAGAAGCTTCCATTGGTCAACGTATGATATCAAGTCGGTTTCAGGGAAACGCCAAGCTCTTGAAGTATAGAGATAGTCTTGTTAATCCTGTATTCTAAATATATTAACAGTCAAGCTCTTGTTGCAGTTCAACGAACCAGATCGTGGCGGAATTGCCTCTTGCGGGGTAAATGAAGCACCATATATCCGCGAAGTATACCCGGTATCTATATAAGGTATGTCCTATCAACATGTCTTGTAATATCCACTTCTTTCTCCACAACTATCCAATCTTTAACCAAAGCAGTCCCGTTGACCACGCTCTGGATCTGCTCGTCGGTACAACTACTCCGCAATGACTGGATATAACATGTCGGCTCCGGACTCTCAGGTACCTCATTCTTGAACTCCCACGTCGAGGATGGCCCCTCGCTCGCGTACGTGGCATTCTTCAGCAGTGACACCTTCCCCGTCGCAATGTCACGGTTAAACAGAGCCCGGTGGAAGATCTCATATGCTGTTTGGGGTTGATACGCCGGTACCTCATGGCCTGCTTCGAAGACACGGGTGAAAGAAAAGTTGCCGTACTGCCGCACACGGCCCCCAATATACGACGAATTGGTCTGGACCGGGGCGTAGCCTGCTGCTTGGAACGACTGCGAATCGGAATAGTTGACGCGCAGACTGACCTCTTCGCCGCCGTTCCAGGGACATGCGTAGTCCCGGTCCCCGTAGACGAGCGCCACCTTGATCCCCGAGTCGAGAACATACGCGAGATCCTCGAGGTACCCGTGAACACCGGAGCGCGGGTAATCGCCCGTCGACCTGAAGGCGTTGTATGTACTGTCCACTGATATGGAGAAGTTGACGGGCACCCCCAGCGCAGCTTGCACCCAGTTCTGGTTCAGGAAGCCTTGGAAGTAGGGGAGCGGGAATGGATCTGGGTCAAAGTGCGCGATATCGTAGTAGCCACGGCCGGAGAAGAGTATGTAGGGACCCTCCACCTGGTTGCTGCAGTAGTCGTTCGCCTTCCGACAGGCCTCGTTGACCGTCTCGTTGCTCCCGGACATGGTTGGATCTCCCTGGGCCGCTAGCTCACGGCACTCGACTATTAAATCCTTGCAGCCACCAGGCTTACTCCACGCATTCATTGCCTTTTCGTAGGCGGTTTTGTTGATCGCCTGGATGCCGTAGGTGTTGTTGTACGCCATCTCCGGGTAGAACGGAGCTTGTGTCAACAAATCCACGCACCCATTGATAATTCCCAGAGTATCCAGGTGAATATAATGATACTCATCTGGTAATGTCCCCCGCTCAATCTTCTCATTTTGTTCCTGAAAGAACGCGGTGAATGACGGCCCGTACCGCCCACCATAGGACTCAGTCCAGATACTCACCCGGTCATCGTGCGGCTTGTACTCGGGGAATTCAGAAAACCACGTCTGCGCAAAGTGCCAAAGCGACCGCGCCGCGTTCTCCGTCGTATTCGCCGTAGCCGTCCGATTCATACTGGGAAACGTGCCCACATAGAATGTATTGTTCTGCTCCGGGACTTCGTCCGGGAAAGCAGACACATTCCACGCACTGGTAAGCTGATTATACGTCCCATTCGTAGGAACATCATAGCTGAACCCGACCTGGTTCGGCTGGTCAATGTACAGCATGTTGACGTAGTTGTTCCACGACCAGGGGTTGATCTCCGTTGAGTTGGAGTCGGCGTTTACAAGACACGGGCCATTTTCCTGCAGTAGTCCGATCATGGACGAACTGCCGGGCCCGCCGTTCATCCAGATGGCTAGCGGTGCGTTAACGGGATCATTGCGCGACTCGAAGAACCAGAAGAAAGTGTTGATGGGGTATTGCTGGTCGACATCAACGTCGTTCAGCGTGCCGGGCGGCAGATGCACATAGCCGGAGTACGATTTGACACCCGGGGTGGTTTCACAAATACCGGGCTGGATCCGTTAGCAGTTTCGATAGATTAGGTAAAGTATCATACTTCTTTGTACGAAATCTTCACACCCTCCTGATGCTTCGAATGCACGACCGTGAGACCCTCTGGCGTGGGAGGGAAATATTGTGCCGACGCGGTCAACGCAAGACCAGCGGTCCCAGCGAGAAGGGATACAAGGTATAGCATGATACGCCTCTCAACTCATCTGAGTAGACATATAGAATAAGAACAAGATTAAGGAAGGCCAAGAAGTATCTTATATTAAATGGGGATCTGAAGGAGTCACGCAGCAGCCATGCCGATCCTGACTGATGATTGGTGGATGGAAGACGGGGAACAACAAACTGTGGAGCTGTGATAACAATTCCCCATTCGCGAAAACCAATACTAACACTACCGAGGGTAGATATTGAGTCGCCGCTGATCTCCTGTAGAACTCTCCCTTCTCCCAAGCAGTTTCACGAAGATGGTGCGCATCGACTTTGGCTGCTGATCAGTAGGGTTAGCTAGTGACTCGATTGTATTTAACCTTAGCATTCATTCGAACTATTTTCGCAGGAGAAAGATCTAGAGCTAAGTCTTTGAAACCGGAAAGCAAAGTCCTGTTCACCGCTATGCGACCACAAACGCCTCGCCATCCGAACTCCGAGCCCCAGCCGAAAAGAAAAGAATCACAACCCGAAAATAAGAAGAATCCATCAGCTCATATGCACATGGAAAAGGTACCTCTGCCGAATCTGCGCAACATCGTACACAATGTACTCATTATACTGCAGACTGCCATTGCCACACATTGTGGACTTGGACACATCCGGCATCTGCACCCCTGACAATGCTGGATGAAGACAGCCTGCATCCTTCCAACCCGCCGGGATAGTCCGCCCTTTTCCGAGCGTCGCGATCTTTCCCTGGGCTTTGGCATCCGTTCCTGCGTTGAAGTTGGCCTGAAACTGCTCGAACATGGGGTTTCCAAGCTCGACATCGCAGAGGAGCAGCAGACCCATGTTGGCGCTGTTGTAGGGCACACAGTAGTTTGCGGATTTGCTTGACATATCGGCGAAGTAGACGCCCTTGCCGAACATGTATCCTGACATGGGGGCTTCGGGTGGTGCAATACGAAGACCCTGGCTTAGGATACCACCGTAGTTGGTACTGCGGGATCCGTGCCACAGTAGACGGCGGTTGCTGTTCTTTAGAGTCGAATAACAAGAAGCCTTGAACCGATCCTCTTCCCCCTTGCGCTCAATGCGGAAGATGTTGATGACCTGTTTGTGGTGAGTATCCTGAAAGTTGGTTTCGGGGGAAGTACTCACGCTGTAGCGAAGATGGTGCGTCGAGCCGCGAGAATTATTCAGGTATGCTTCGAGTTCACGGAATTCGGCTGAGGAACGGTTCACTACACGGGTCAGCTTTTGTCACGGAGAGCATACCGCAGACTTACGTGGAGTCATCTCCTGCATTCCCAGACCCTGGTACTGGCGATCCAGCTGGTTCATCATCTCGGCGTCCCGAGAGTTCTTCATGATTCCGTTGGCAACACCCATGTCGGTCAGTGCTTCCAGCAGATCAACCTCGGTCTTGATCTGATGATCTGCAGTCAGGATAGGAGGCGTATTGCGACCAAATACGTGCGGAATAGTGGTAAAGTAACGATTGCTGAGATCCAGAGCGGCATGCTGGAACGAAGTGTTGTATCTCGAGCTCGCAAGGGAGGGATCGGCCACGAGTTCGGACAGATCTTTCAGAATCTGAAATCCTGTCGTCAGGGTCCGCTTGCTCAGCTTGCCCAACGGCAGCTTTTGCGCGTCGTACGACATGGACGCCATCGTGGACAGGAAGTGTTGCTGGTTAAAGATAAAGGTCAAAAGCTTCTGCACCGCCTGAGGCAGGGTACTCTCGACCTCTTCCTTTTCGTCGACATCCATCTTCTCCGCGTTGTCGTCTTCGTCGTCCGACTCTTCATAGTTACGCTCGATAAAGGTGTACTTGTTCGACTTAGGGGTGCTCAGCCGATCTTCCCACTTCAGACCCGTCTTGTCTTTGAACTTCTTCTCAAACTCGAACTTGGCTCTCTGCAGAGTCCCATCACCCAGCAGTGCAGACGATCCAAACTCCCCGACACGGCCCCATCGCGTCCAGGTCTTGTAGGTTGTCCCGGAGGTATCAATCAGCAGCTGAATCCGGTAGAACTTGTTGTTGTTATGCGCAGAATTTGTCTGGTTCAGCGTTGCATCCCAGATCAGCCCAGAGTCCTCAATAAAGACCGCCCCTATGCCAATTAGCTACAACCCGTTGCCACCATTCTCCTAGCAAGGACATACCAGGCATCGTGCACCCCTCGTCAATAGGAACATTCGGAGGCTTGGTGCTAGCCTTCTGCGCAGCCTTCTGTTTCTTATTCGCTTCGTCGCCGTTGCTAGCGCCATTCGCATCCGCCGCGATATCATCATTCGCATCGGCAAGCTTCCTCTTGTTCGCCTTGGGTGCAATGGTAGCGCCAGTAGCAGTAGCCGTAGCAGGAGCAGTAGCAGTACCATCTACATTCTGTCCCTGGCCCCCAGACACAGCTCCGGACGTCAGAAGATACGTCTTAGAAGCAAGTGGTTTCCCGGCCTTCTGCGAGTCCAACAGCCATTCCAAAGAAACGACATCACACCCGGGAAGATTACATGCTTGCTTGTCTGCGCCCATCAGCACACGCTGCTTAGTACGGCCAGTAGGGTCAACTTACATTTCACCGTCCCCTTCTCGACTTCCTTCTGCGTCGTGACGAGATGCGTGCAGCCCTCTGAAACTGTAGAGGTGAATGTAGCGCCTTGTCCCTCGACGATAGCCTTCAGATCGGCTGTCAGAATCCGCGCTAGTTAGCGTCGTCGTCGTCGTTGTAGTCGGTCAGACAGTGCGTGGCACGACATACCTTGCTTGTAACCCGGGAACGTCCCGCTTACGGCGATGACAGCTTTTTTGAATGTTCGTGGTGCCATCGAGAAGATAGTGTGAGCTGTACTCCGTGTGGAAGCAATGAAGTAAACAAGGATATAGTTGAGCTCTGCGGAATGATTCGAAAAGGTATGAAATGGTTCCAGTCCCCGCAATCGCTTATCACTGTTACAGACAAATTATGAAGATGAAGATGATGGATTGAGAAGGCAATTCGGACCTTCTCTTGTGGTGTGTTGTGGTCTATTTATCGCACTCCAACCCCGTATCTAGTAACTAGTGGCCTGAGGATCCTGGCGCCAATGCGGGCTGCTGCCTGCTCCAAGCGACATCATTTCAGGCAGAAAAGGGGCCTAGCGCTCTTAGTGGATTTGGTCTGGGGAACGATCAAAGCGGATCCACTGGTTGTCAGAATCTAAACGAATTGACAGTGAGGCATCATGTCCCTGTGGATAATGAATATTGTTGTCTGGTGTCTGTCGTTTTGCTGGTACAATGCTTATCTTGGGCTCAGCAAGGCAGCACCAACAATTGTCTCATGGCTCATTCAAACTTCAGTTTCAGGTCTCGCATTAAGAGATTCAGGGGTAAAGTCTTCAAATTCGGTTTGAGTCAGTCTCAGCTTCTGTCATTTCCATGAAAGATTAGAATTTATCCAGGTGAGAATCTATGTTCCTCTTAACCTCTTATATAATGAGACAGTGAGACACAGAAGTCTTCTAGGAACTACTCCGGATTATAATATGTAAGACATTAAGTGAAATTTTCCAAGCTTGAGAAGCTTTCTGTTCTGGTAGAGAAATGCTCTACTTGACAACCGAATAACCATGACGCCCATCCTCCCAGATGCCAGGACGCTAAGAAGGCAAAATAACCAAGAGAAGAAGAAGACACACCCAGAGGGACAGAAGATCCGACAAGACAAGTGATGTATTGTCGGTAGCAGACAAAGTCAATCACACATGCGCCCGCCCAAACAAATAATCATGGAGAAATGACAGAGATAGGAGAAGGTCTATATACAATAAGTACCAAAATAGTAGGACAATGATATTGACAGAAGATCCCGACAGAGGTCTACACACTTTGAGTGGGCTCCGAAGCTTTGTGACTCCCACTTTCGGAGACAGACTTTGTCTCTTCCAAAGTCGCATCATTTGATTCAGGCTTGGGAGCAGGCTCCTGCGCTTCGATCTTGGCGACTGGTTCTGTTGCTTCCAAAGCTGCGCGGTCACTCTGAGTCAAGTGAGGAATGACTTCTTCATTAGAGCCTTCCTTGTGAAAGCCATTGACGGTTGCAGTATCAGGCTCGGCTTCATCGTCCGATGCTTGAGCGCTTGCGACAGAGTGGAAGTCGTCTTTCTCAGCGTACGCCTGGTTATGCGGTTGAGGAGTCTCTTTCGACAGGAGACTCGATGAGGAATAATTGTTAGGATGGAGGGGAAGTTGGGCAAATCCATTTACAGTGGAGTTATCAGGGTGGGACATCACGGATCGTCTGCCTCTGCCGTCTGGAGAGGAGGAAGTGGAGGAGGTTGGAGAAGTAGGTGTCGATTGTGACATCGGAACTGGGTCCCGATGAGGATTCCGGGGTGGTAGAGCAGGAGGCAAGCGCTTCGGAATGGTGACCAGCCGGGCGCGGGTGAATGTGGGCGAATGACGTTTCAGCTCTGGAGGAGCAGTTGTGTCCTCAATGGACACAGGGGAAGACGGAGTGGTGCTCTCGCGCTTGGAGACGGTAGCACTACTGACCTCGTGGACCTCATACTGATCATCCACAGAGTCCTGATCACTGTCGTACTCCCGATGCCGGGTGAGATGGGCCGGCCGCTCCGGTATCACGGTATCCCAGCCGTCCTCTGCGTCCCACGGACTGCGCTCAATACGATCTGCACGGGTGCTCCTTGACGAGGCGCGGCTGATCGATGTAGGAGCAGTCAAGGGGGCCTCGTCGGTCTGCGTCCCTCGATCCACACTGGCATGACTTTGAACGCTCGCTCTCCAACTGCTGCGTGGGGAGCTATCCAAACTCCGTCGAAAGGTGGAATAGATGGGACTATGGGGACTGGGTTTGAACTCAAAGACATCTTGTGACGGTCGTGATCGGGTCCCGGCTTCGCGGATGAACAAGCCTTCGGCCTCCAGGGCCTTTACCCCGAACGGATCCGGGTCATCGGGATCCGGGACTCCGAAGGGAGTCGCTGGCTGGACCTCGACATCGCCCGGCGTCTGTCCCGGGGGAGGAATCCAGTTCTCCTCCACATCGCTGTCACCTTGGGCGGCCTTGATCGTCTGGATGAGGGTCTTGATGGACCTTGGTGGCCGCTTTACCTTGCCGGCCAAAATGTCGGTGACGGATATCCTTTCGCCATAGAATCGCTCATTTTCGTCTGTGCGTTCAATGATGATCGTTCCGTCCACCTGGACGCCAGCGTATAGGCCCCGGCTCTTCATGTATGTCCAGATGGGTGCCTGTCGCTTGTGTACCTCCGACTCCAGGACACCTCCAACCCCATAGGGACCAGCCGCCGCGCTGACCTCTCCTCCCAAAGTACACCGCACTTTCTTGAATGCTTCAAGTGCCTCGAAGGTGTTGATAACGACCACGCAATCATAAATGTCCACCCCGGCCAAGAAACCGATACCAGCGGTGTGCAGCATGATACCTGAGGGCGGACTCCATTCGCCTGTTTCGGGAATGCGGGCCAAAAGCACACCGCTTCCACCCGAGCCACTCAGCCATAGTCCCGTTCGCATTGTCGTGAAGATGGCGAGGCCCACTGCGCGCTGGATCACTGGCGCGGGAATCTTCTTGATCACTCGCTGCTTACCCTTGGGACGATTGATCTTCCCATTGCTGTCCGTACCGTTTTGCTCCACATCTTCTTTGGTATAGAAACCATCTTTGCAGAAGCTGCGCAGGATGCGAGCTGCTTTGTCGCTTTCTTTGTCGAGAGTCATGGGCCAGAAGGCCTCCGCTCCAACGCGATTCGACAACCGATTCACAGGCGCCCCTAGCTTATCGACCGTATTCCATGCCTTGTCGAATCCCTTCTTGCCGCCCACCTTGGCCTTTTCCCAAATCGTGGGAGCCATTGCGACGACTATTTGGGAGCTCGATGAGCCGAATCCACAGCCCTCGTAAGGACAGGACCACGTCCCTCGACAGGAGAGGGCGCAGACTCTATATTTTTCAGATCAGAAACCCCAAACCGTCGGATCGCGACGGGAACGGCAAACATGCGCGACGGAAATTGCCCGTAAATGACAATGGAATGTAAAAATGCGGAGGAATTAGGTATAGTGTCGTTTATTGCCGCAGCCGAGGTATGCTTGCCAGACAAGCTTTGGAATGCAGCTAAGGTTAAAGACAAAGGTAAGAGACAAATTGGACTAATGGTGAAATCAAGGGCGCTGAAATATATTATGTATATGAATGAGCTGAGCTACATGAGAGAAGGAGAAATATCAGTCACTGGGTCACTCCGCGTTATCCGTGTTCAACGGCCGGAAGAGAGTGGCGATGTCGTCGCAAGATGAAGGTAGGATGGGGAGAGAGGAAGAGTATAACCATGGAACGGGAGAACAAGGGAAGAGGCCCAAACTTACCTGCCCAATAACCCAGGAGCAACGGGGAAAAATAATAAATAATAAAGAAGGGACCAGAAACAATCCGACGGGGATGGACGGAAAATGGGGATGAGGTTCAATAATACCTTGAAGGACGAGCAAGGTATGCAGGCCAAGGAGACAAGGGAGGTCCTGTAGGTACTTGGTGGTCCTATCTATATCAAGCCAATAATGAAGATCTTCAAGGAATCAAGAGAGGAATGAGAAGGTAGTATGGTCATTCATCATTATAAGTGTCATTCGTCTCAATCATCATGGTCCATAATAATAGTCGTCAAAATTTAAACTTGATAGTCCATATAAGTACCTAAGATAGAAAAACCAGGGACGACCAAGGCGCGGCTGGATCGGAAAAGCATAGTTGGAACCCAAAGTGGCGCCAAGGCTGGACCTGGAGAAAATACAGATCGTAGCAGACGATAGGAAGAAGAAAAAAGAATGGAAATGGGAAGTGAAACTGGAAATGGAAGTGATGGATGTCATCATCATCATCGACTTCACCTGGGCGTCATCATGGGACTAACCTAGTTGTTATCTAGACTAGTAGGAAGTTAACTTAAGTATATTGGTAAGGCTTAGCGATCGGCGACGCCGGATGGATCACTAAGAGGAGTATTTGTAAGTACCACTGTTGCTGTCTCTGCTGTACTCCGGAATAGTTCTATCCATTTCTGTCTCTAATTATTGACAATGACAATGTGTTTGTCTGCCAGAACAAAAACATTCTTTTCTGTCCCTCCTTTCTACCACAGCAAACTCATCCTTTATCAAATGGAATCCGTCGTCATCGACTACGTACATCTAGTTGAATATACGATTCATGGATGTACCTGGAACTGAACCACTGGTTGCAATGATCACTAATGCCTTGGTCTAGATTCTCATACTTTCTAGCCGACTGGTTCTCTTCAACTCTTCTTTTCCAACCATCGTTAATAATCCATCTCATTATTATTGACAGAGTTTGACTATTCCGCTCCCACATTGAAAATGGCGAAAGGGTAAATTTCTCCCTGCATTCTGAAGGCCCACTACTGTGTTAGGCACATATGACAGCTCCAATACCGCATCCCTTCGGCCCCAACCACTCTATCATCTGTTTACTCGATGTAGATATACGCCAGACTATTCTATATTATCACCGTATAGACTAGGTTATTCTAGTCTTGGCTGTCGGATCAAATGAATGATGGAGGATTGGACGCGAAAGGGATTCATGATCCACGACAGGAGTCACAGGACAAAGCTTCGATCTATCCCTTGGTTCGATGAAGGGTCCTGTGAACGCTGGTGAAAAGCATATGCAGGAGATAGTTTGCCGTCTATACAGTAGTCCAATCAATAGTGCTGTATTCCGAAGCTTTCTTGCCATTAAGCTGTGATAATACATTCTTGCCTGCGTCCCTGAGCTCGA